CCCCCCTCCCTCCCTGTAATATTATCCCCCCTCCCTCCAATCTTCTCACCTCCCCTGTAGCGTGGCCGAGCTCCTTTCCAGTCCGGGCGGGTCGCGGACCGGAAAGGAGCTCGGCCACGCTACAGGGAAGGGGAGGTGAGGCAGTGCGGCTGCCGGCCCTGCCTAGGTCTTATTTTCGGGGTAGGGCTTATATTGCAGCCCACCCCGATAATCCAGCTAGGGCTTATTTTCGGGGTAGGTCTTATTTTCGGGGAAACAGGGTATCTCTCCTCTGTGTTGTCTTCTGTTTAGCTGAATCCTGCGTGTTGGGGTATATTCTCGTTACACTCTCTAGATCCAATTCCCTTGCATCTCATCCATACTCTGTCTTCTTCTCTTTCTCTACCTCTCACTAAAATTCTAAATCTCTCTCTCTCTCTCTCTCCTCTGGCATATTTCCATCGCCCTTCAAACATGCAACTATAACCCCAATTCTAAAGAAGCCCAACCTTGACCCTAACTCCCCGTCCAACTACCATCCTATCTCGCTACTGCCTTTTGCATCCAAGATCCTTGAAAGAGTTGTGTATACGAGATTGACAAACGTCCTCGAGTCCAATTCTCTGCTAGACCTGCTTCAGTCTGGTTTCTGCGCTAAGTACTCTGTAGAAACAGCACTGACCAAAGTATCTAATGATATACTCGCTGCATAATCTCGTGGTCACTACTCTATCCTAATTCTCCTTGACCTTTCTGCGGCTTTTGACACTTTTGATCATCAACAGCTTCTTCTCATCCTCCATAATATCGGTCTACAAGATATTGCTCTCTCCTAGTCCTCCTCCTACCTCTCCCAGCGCTCTTTCAGTGTTTCTTTCTCTGACTCTACTTCTTCTCTCCAAGTCCTCTCTGTTGGTGTCCCCTAGGTTCAGTCCTTGGTCCCCTACTGTTCTCCCTCTATACTGCCTCCCTTGGTAAACTCATTAGCTCCTTTGGCTTCCAATATAATTTCTATGCGGATGACACGCAAATCTATCTGTCCTCTCCTGATCTCTCCCCGTCCCTCTTGACTAGTGTCTCTGACTGCCTCTCTGTTATTTCTAACTGAATCGCTGCCCACTTCCTTAAACTCAACTTGACCAAAACTAAAATTCTGGTCCTTCCTCCCTCAAGTGTTGATACTCCTTTGTCTGTCTCCCTGCAAGTCAACGGTGCTAGCATCAGCTCCACCACGCTGCCTAGGTGTTCTCTTTGACTCCGACCTCTCCTTCACGCGTCATGTTCAGTCTATCACCAAATCCTGCCGCTTCCATTTCAAAAACATTGCGCGCATCTGACCCTACTTAACTCCAGATGCGACTAAGGTGCATTTGGTGCAATAAGGTCCATTCCACTGTCCTTTCTCGCCTTGACTACTGTAATCCACTTCTTAGTGGTCTTACGTGCTCCCAACTTGCACCGTTACAGTCCATAATGAATGCGGCAGCGAGGCTCATCTTATTGTCCGCACACACCGCCCACGCCTCACTCTTCTGTCAGTCCCTACATTGGCTTCCTGTAAGATATAGGGCTCAATTTAAAATTCTGGTTCTTGCTTTCAAATCTCTACATAATGCTGCTCCCAGCTATCTATCCTCCCTAATACACAAGTATGTCAGGTCTAGGCCCTTACGCTCTGCTGAAGACTTACATCTATCTTCTGTCTGTGCTTCCACCTCTGATGCTCGCCTTTAAGACTTCTCGAGGGCTGCACTGTTCCTGTGGAACTCACTTCCCTCCTCCGTTAGATGCTAACCCAGTCTCCACTCCTTCAAAAAAACATTAAAAACCCACTTTTTTTTAAATTTAATTTCAATTAAACTGTTAATAGCTCCTGACAGATTCCTCTCTTGCACCTGTCATTAGTCTAATACTATCTTTACCTTTTGTGTCACTTTACCCCACTCCCTCTAGCATGTAAGCTCATTGAGCAGGGCCCTCAACCCCTCTGTTCCTGTGTGTCCAACTTGTCTGGGTACAACTACATGTTTGTTCACCCACCCACTGTAAAGCGCTGCAGAATTTGTTGGCGCTTTATAAATAATATAATAATAATAATAATAATAATGATATGTAAAACCATAGAATTCAAAGAGGATGTACTTTTTATTTAGTTTTTTATAATTCTTTATTTTAGCTGTGCATAGATTGTACAAACATGCTTGCTGAGCCACAGCAGCTAGGACAAGCTTTGCAATAGACATAAAGAGGCATTAGTATGACTTTCAATATATATATATATATATATATATATATATATATATATATATCACTGCACATTTTTTAAAGCAATAGGTAACAGGAGAAAACATTCTGCTTAACTAGTAATGGCTCCACCACAGAGGGCTCTGAGATAATGAGATGGGGCCAGGGTTGCCATCAGGTATTTTGGGGCCCCTGACACAATTCAAGGTCTGGGCCACGCGGGCCCGTCCCCGAGTCCGCCCACAAGGATGCCCATTGTGTGTGTAGTGGACGTAGTGTGTATAGTGTATAAAGATTGCACATGTGTATAATGAATGTAGTGTTTGTGTGTTTTAAATAGTGTTTTTGGGTAGTGAATGCAGTGTGTGTGTTTGTGTAGTGGATGTTGTGTGTGTGTGTGTGCGTGTGTATGGTGAATGCAGTGTGTGTTTGTGTAGTGGATGTATAGTGTCTATGGTGAATGCAGTGTGTGTTTGTGTTTATGGTGAATGCAGTGCGTGTTTGTGTTGTGGTTTTAGTGTGTATAGTGAATGCAGTGTGTGTTTGTGTAGTGGATGTATAGTGTTTATGGTGAATGCAGTGTGCAGTGTTTGTGTTGTGCTTTTAGTGTGTGTAATTGTGTAAAATAGAAGCTCCATTTGGGGGAAGGAGAGCATTTTTGGTGGTATTTACACACTCTTTATTTTATTCCCCCCTCCCTGCTTCTTAACTGGCCAGGGAGGGGTGAGATTGCATCCCTGGTGGTCCAATGATATGGTGAAGGGCACCGGTGGCTGCTTGGATTAAGTGCGGTTCCTATGATCACTTTTGCAAAGTAGTGTAGGCCCATACACTGCCCTCCCTGGGCGCTGCCAATGCAGTCTGCACCTCTTGAGGCAGGTAGGCTTGGGGGATGCTGCCTTGCGTGGGTGCCTGGTCCCTCGAGGTCTCTGTGTGGATGAGCAGCTCGATAAGGCTTGTGGGGAGGGCTAAAAGGCCAAAATTCCTTGTGGAGGCAGTTGAGCTGTAGCTGTGCTCCGGACCTCTCCCTCCGATGCTGCCAAGGACATGTGGATTTTAGGTGTCGCCACTGGCATACAAACCGCGGTCAAAGGGGTCGCAGCTGCGACTGGGCCCGTCACTCCAGGGGGCCTGGCCACCCTGCGGACCCCTGTGACCAGGTACCCGCAATTATGTTTTGTGGCCCCGGCCCACGCGACAAACTGCCAGGGCCTCCGTTCCAGGGGTCCATCGGGTGGCCCATGCTGTCAGGGCCACCCAATGGATATGGATTGTAAGGGGACCCAGTCAGCGCTGGGCGCTTTAACAGCAAGACCAGGCCCCCTGTGATTACATCACAGAGCTGGGAGGAAGTGACTGCACGTGCGGGAAGAAGACCAGGGAGTCAGAGTGGGAACTCTGACTCCCATCCACCTGAGCCACCACTGGACCCCAGTCACCCTACTGCACCTAAAAGGTAAGAAACAGGAGGGTGACTTAAATATTGTGTGTGTGTGTGTGTGTGTGTGTTTGTATGTATGTGTGTGTGTCTGCCTATATGTATGTGTGCCTGTTTGTTTGTATGTATGTGTGTTTGTCTGTGTGTCTGTCTGTATGTGTGCCTGTCTGCGTATATATGTGTGTGTCTGTCTGTATGTGTCTG